CTATATTTATTTGTGAATTATTGATAAAGAAAAAAAAAATAGTAAAAAAACCTTGTATATAAAAAAAACATTGATACAAAATTACGTTAGATTCCTTTTAATGAGTATATTCAAAATATCAACTTTTATATAATTTTAACTCATTGATGATTATAAGATATTTATAATTAAATTCTTGCGTTAAACATGTATCAACTAATAATTACCCGTATTAACATACTCCATACAAAAGTTTTTTGCATGCGTATTCGTAGACGTTAATCATCAGTGAAACAAAAGTTATAAATGGGAGTTTAGAAATGGGGAAATTTGTCTAGAACTACCCGGAAGATAGGCTCATTTGTGAACAGCTACCCCCTTTTTTTTTATTTGTTTACAACTACCCGCAATTTTGAAAACGTTTGGGTAGCACTACCCATTAACGTTTTCCATCCAAAAAATCGTTAGTGGGCCCACATTGTACACATGTCATTTATTTATTAGATAAAAAAAATGAAAAAAAAAAATTAAATAAAAACCTAGCCACCCTAACCACCGTGAAACCCTAGCCCCTACCCCTAGCCACCACAAAAAATCGGCCAGCCGCCACCCTAAACCTCCGAAACGGTCGGCCGGAACCCCCTGACCACCAATCAGCCACCCACACCACCATCTCCAGACCTACCAGCCACCGCCACCCCCTTTCACTGTAGGCGACCCTAACCCAGGACCCACAAACCCTCCCCAAACACCACCTTTCCTCCCTCCCTATCCCCTGACAACACCAAAACCCACCATCGCACACCATTTTGAACAACGACCCAATTTCGATTGTAGGTGGTGGTTTCGATTTCAGGTAAGGAGGGAATCAGTTTCGGGTCTGGGTTTGGGGGAGGGTGGTTCGAATCCGGGTGGCTCGTCAAAGGAGAGAGAGGGCGGTGCGGCGGGTGACCCTAGTGTGGGTCGTGGGTCGAAGGAGATAGAGGGAGGGTCGTGGGACTGGTAGGGGTGTCAGGTTGGGGTGAAGGGTTGGTGGTCAGCCGTTTTCGGAGGTTCAGGAGGGCGGCCTGCCGGTTTTTGGTGGTGGTTAGGGGTAGGGGCTAGGGTTTCACGGTGGTTGGGGTGGCAAGTTGGTGGCTGGTTTTTTTTTTCTTTTTAATTTTTTTTTATCCAATAAATAAATGACACGTGTATAATGTGGGGCCCACTAACGGTTTTTTGGATGGAAAACGTTAATAGGTAGTGTTACCCAAACTTTTTCAAAGTTGCGGGTAGTTATAAACAAATAAAAAAAATGGGTAATTGTTCACAAATGACCCTATATTGCGGGTAGTTCTAGACAAAATTCCCGTTAGAAATGATATACAACAGACAAGTAATTGTTAAAAAATAATTGAGACAAATTCAAAGTGATGATATAAAAAGAAAATTAAGACAAACTTAAGATCAAATATTGTCTAAATGAGTATATATACATAACACTAGTATATCTTTGTTGATTTGTACCAAAATAATGTTAAGATTGGAGTAGTCAGTATCTATTGTTTTGTTTTCCGTAAACAATTCTTTTTAAGGTCATACAATAGAATCCTATGCCCTTCGTTTTTTAACATACGAGGCACCACCACATGCAATGCATGTGCATACACTTATATACAACTCCAAAAATTTAAAATAAAATAAATGAATATAGGGGTTTTTTTTTTTTTTTTTTTTTTGGGCACTTATGTAATCCAGGTAAATGAAGGATTAGTCTTTCTTTTACCAAAAAAAAAAAAAAAAAAATTGGCTAAATGTTTAGATTAGGGTAATAATGTCTTTAAATAATACTTGTAATAGCTTAACTTGGAGTTTCGAGTTTTGACTCATTGGTTATTATAGCCATGCTTTGACCCTTGTGTGCTTGAAACTTTATATTTCGTACGCCTTTATTTTTGTTAATTTTTCATAATCAAAATTTTTCTTAAGTGTCATCTATTTTCATCATCCCTATTTTTTATAATAAATATTACGATCACAATTGATAATATGATGTGCACAAGTAAAAAAAAACCTTTTATAATAGTGTTATTTTTATTTCATAAACAAGTAATAAGATAAGTAAAAGTCAGGAGAATTGAAAACCGAAAATTATATAAATCACATAATCGGAGACATAATGTGGCAAATTGACAACAACATATGAAGATGAAGTGATATTTATCAGGATTGGGTGGAGGGGGCTGCGTTGGAAATTGCCACAACCACAAAGACCCCATTAATCCTTAACCTTAAGTTCTTATCAGCAACAAAGTAGCTCAAAGTAGCTGTACTATACTTTAATTTTGTATAACAATTTAGTGATTTACAATACACAATAATTCTAAGGAAAAGGCTGTTAATTAAGTTGGGTGACACTTTCACAATAAGGTGTTTTTTTTCTTTGTTTGGGACCACTCTTTTTAATACACAAACTAATTAATTAAGGGTAAGCCCTCTTTATTAATTAGGGTTTAGACAAGACATTTTCATAGGAAAACACATAGGTTACAAGTTACATAGCCTTTACAACTATAATCCCAATATGTTTGTCATCACATGGCCAACTAGCCATAACAATCAATAATCTCCTCTTCCTTTAAGGGCTAAATCAAGAACACTTGCCTATTATGGCTCCGTTGAAGAGATGCGAAGATATCGATTAGGGGCATAGCACCATCCTTACACATTCGAGTACGTCTGTACGTGTGTTAAGTATGGATAGTTTGTTTGTTGTTTTTTTTTTTTTTTTTGACAAAGAGAAATTACAACCAATAAAAGCTAAACAAAACTAAAACAATAACCAAATACATCAAACCACACAAACAAACACCAAAGGAAAAACTTTAGAACAATAGTTGAGGCAAAACACTTAAACCATTCCACAGATGGGGCTTGCCATGAGTCTATGACCACCATTGGAGGGCAAAGGAAGTGAATGAGAGCTCCAATGTGTCAAGTATGGATAGATATTGAAATGTCCAAGTCAAAAACCATTCTGATTATGGCTCCGTTGAAGAGATATGGGATGTCGAGGGGTGGGAGGGCGGAGACATTGTTCCCAAGTTAGGTTATAACTTATAAGTGCAAGAGCGTGTGACATTTCAAAAAAAAATGTACGAAATTACTTTTTGTAGGATGGGCTGTAATTTTCTCACATAATTAGATCTGAATCTCTCCAAATGTGAGGCTAAAAGTATGCATTATTGAGGTTTTGCCAATCAGTGTTCAAGAATCTAGCCCCTAAGGCCCTGTTCACTTCACCTTAAAAAAATAATATTCAGTAAAAATAAGTTCAGTTCAGTAAAATAATTTCAGTTTAGTAAAAATCAATAAACTTAAAGAAGAAATATAATAGAAAATCAGTAAAAATAATTTCAGTTCAGCAAAAATAATTTCAGTTCAGTAAAATTAATTTCAGTTCAGTAAAAATAATTTAAGCTAAGAAAAAATAATTTCAGTTCAGTAAAAATAATTTTAGTTCAGCAAAAATAAAGTAAAGTAAATAGGGCCTAATTGTCATGTATAACTGAGATTTCACGTGACAGACTAAGAAACCCTAACAACCTACTAGTCTACTACTACAATTTCTTTTTATTTTTTTAGTACACACAAACAACTACAAGTCTACAATATTTTTTTTTGTTGTTGTTGTTGTTTAGAGATCCACAAGGACGAAGGTCAAAATCGATCCCAAGATCTCCTGGAACCGAGAGAGAAGCTCTAACCAATTGAGCTATTCCTCACTCTCACTACAAGTCTACAATATGACATTAGAGTATGCACAACGGATAACCATTGTGCATGGTTATTAAAAGAGAGAAAATAGGAAAGTAATTAAATATTTAGGAGAGAGAAAATTTTGGAACAAAATTCTTTTAACCTGGTTATTGTTGTAACCGGTTGTGAAGGAAGGTTATAGAATAAAAAAATACCCACTTTTTGGGTTTAAGGTTTGTCCTTGATGACACGGCATAAGGAGATTGAGACACCCATTTATTTTATCAACGAATGAGATTTACTCTGAATTTATAACCGTTGTAATTTTTGTAACGACCATCATTTTTAATATACAACTCTGGAAAAAAAAAAAAAGTACCAACGGCTATTTTATTTTGCTCTATAAAGTGAGCCCAATATTGAGGTATTTTGAAACAATTTTTTATGAAAGTGAATATTACTCTCTTGTAAATCAAATTGTGTAGAGATGAATAATCCAAAATCCAATAGAAAAAAAAAATCCCACAAAATCTCAAAACTCATCACAACCCCAAAATAATCCAAATCTTCAATTTTACCTATTCTAACCTTCAATTGGTCTCAATTCAGATTTAGATACAAATTTTCAACCGTTATTGTTTATTTCTTAAATAACGACTAATTACTTACTAATTAATTCTCAAAATGCATTAATTTTAAACATGTCATTTTATCTAATTAATGTATGCAAATAAATAATTATTAGTTTTGATTGATTATTATCAAGTGCGTTAGTTATATATGATAGGATTTAAGAGAGAGATTGTGTGGTGGGGTTGGGTAAAAGTAGGAGAGAGAAAATGTATAACCAAAAAGTTGTGGTTAACTATTGGGATACATTGGTTATTAAATGGGGATAAGAGTGGTTACAGGTGAGGTGGAAGACGAAGAAATTAATAAAATAACCTATAACCACAGTGGTTGTGGGCAACCATTTCGTTTACTTGTTTACTCTTGCACAATACTTTGTTCTCAAAATATAATTTGCTAAAATAACAATAAACGTGTGAAATTTACATGTGCAGCAGCCAGCACTCAGCAAGACAAACAAATATTTCAATAACTACATAAAATAATCATTCAATGTAAATGGTCTTGGGAGCAAAGCACCTAGCCAAAAATGAAATGGCTCTATATGAAAAGAAATATGCGAGGAAGAACCAATCTTTTAAAAGTAGTTTAGGAAACAGCGGACTTCAAAATAAGGCAACATTTCGAGTTTTTGACGCAGCTTAACTGAGATATGCAGGTGAAATAACAATGGCTAAATGAAGCAAGCATTATCCATAACAGGTTTCACATCAATAATCTTGCCATTTTACATGTAAGGTACAGGTTCTTGTTTTGACCAGAATATAGCCACAAAATTGATTCAAAACATTGGCTATTAAAACTCCTAATTGTCTTGCTGTTTAATGATTGAAACGAATTTGGCAGAGATATCTATACAACCACCAAAACCCCTTTTACACAGCTAATTTCCGGTTTTCTGAAGCACCCCGGAGAGGTTATAGGGTTGGAATTGTCCTCCAAAACTCCTTGATGGGGTAGAATAATGATTTGGCTGGATAAGCATAAGTTTTGCAACCAATTTTCTCATTCACAGATACAAGTGAAATTATGACAGTTCGGTAATGATACGTTCACACTTGTCTTCCAAGATCTTCACAGCTTCGGTAAATAGCACCTCAGGAGACAACGCTCCAGTTGATTCAACAGTGACTGGGAGCAAAACAAATATAGTTAACTCCAAACCATAATTCTAATATACAAATTTCTAAAATATTCTTGCTATAATGCAGGACTGGAAGAAAGATTAATACGGAGTATATCAATGCCACACCTAATACTAGACTGCAATTGCCTGGCCACCAAGAATTTACCACTCAATAGACCAAAATTCAAATCGCGAACAATTTAAGAATGTCATTAAGAAGGATAAACAACTTATCCTGCACGCCAAGAGGCAAGTGGTGGTTCAAAAGTAAGAGAGTTTGGTTTCCTCTTCACAAGAGATATGACAACATTAAATGTAAAGAGCACCACAGTCCACTATGACTTGTTAACAGAAAACATAGTTGTCCCAGGAATGTGAACTCTCAGCTCATAATGCATCTTCTCGAACTTGAAACTATAACAGAACCCAAAAGGATAAAAAAATTCTCAATGAAAAACTTCCCTGAGAATTTAAACACACAAAGATGAAACCTTAGGCTCCAGTTCTCCATCTATACATGGAGTACACAATTTTCCTGCAGCTGAATGAAGTAGTATTCCACAAGAAATCTATAGCTTATACAATAATCATCCTAGTAAGGGTAATTCCAGCAAGAAAATAACAGGAGGCAACATTTTTTAAGCATAAAATAGTTCATATTTGGATGAGCATAACTTACATATAAAATGATCTTTCTTACGCCGCAAAGCGACATATTTGTCCCATCCTTCCGCTCTAATGCATTCTCTGCAAAGGGTACAGGATCTTGGTCGTGGGGCTGTTGCTTTCTTACCTGTTAAGGCGCAAGTTTTGATAAGGAAGCAAAAAGAAAGGGGGGGGGGGCATATATTTCCAAGAAAAAGCACAAAATCATTGTGCAGTGGTAATATGAAGAGCACAATACCAGTAGGAGTGTCTTCAATGTCAAAAACATTAGCTGGACATTTTTGTACCAGCTTTTCTGCCTCTTCATCTTTAATATCTTGCAAAAGAACAACCTATACCATCAAAGTTGATATCAGTATAGTCACACAAAAAGAGAGAGGGGGGGGGGGGGGGTGGGAGTGTGATCAGATAGCATTGTAGGCATTTTACCTCAGGAAGCATCCTGTACCAAGCAGTCGCAACTGGGGACCACTTTGCATGCTCTTTACCAACACCTTTAACAGCATGTGCTTCAAGTTCAATTTCCTGGACAAATGACAAAGTTGACATTTGATAAAATTAAACATCAAGACTTCACAAAGGAGTTTGTGAACAAGCATCAGCAATTGATAAAGGAAAAACAGAAGCCCACAAGGGGACAAGAATCACTCAATCGACAAACTGCCATCTTTAATTTAACTACCTAAGTTTTGTAACAAGCTGCTACACTCAATAGATTAAATTAACAGCAGATACAGAAAGCAAGAGATATGAAAGCTACCTGTCCTGGCCCAATCCTAGCTAAAGTGATATCAGGATACTTAGGATGAATTGGATTTTCTGATAATTCAGGTAGCCCATCCTGGCTTGACTTGAAATTAGTATAAGTTTTGGGTGCTGTGGTTGAACTTGATGCTTTATTTTCTATCTCCAATAAGAACATACTCCCTTTTGGCAACCAATTCAGTTCTTCTGACTTGACTGCAGCAAAATGATAGCAATTATTATTCAAACGCATCACAAGCAAATGAATCAATGAAGGTGAACAGGTAGTACAAATTACAAACTAATTGCACACCCCTAACATACCCTAAGGATAAAGTTATACCTGACCGCCGTGGTTCTTTTTGTTCACAACGGGAATGAAGTCCAAAAACAATGGTGTTTTTCTCATTTGGTTCATCCTTTTCTATAAAAAATATATAATTAAATCGTTGAAGGGAAATAAATTTGGTAAGTTCATAAACTTATTGCTATCAGCGTCAAACACATAGAGCTTATACCTGACTTATAAGAAAATAACCTCGGGTCAACTTTTAAGGGAACGAGCCCCAATCTGTGCGCAAGAACCTCATCCTGAACCACTGACGTGTTTTTTGCTATAAAAACCTTCTCAATGGCCATTGTGGGAACCTAAAATAACACTTCAAAATTAAATTTTATTTTCACACAGAAATCACCAAGTCATTAAGTTTCCAGCTTGGACCATGCATAACAATGCATAAGCCACATTCAAAGACAAGAAACAATCTAGCTTACATAAAATATAATACATTCATCACCCATCCTCAACTCTGAAATAAATAACAGAAGAATCCCGAAACTCATACAATGCTGCTAGTATAGCTACCATCAATACCATGATAGTCTGTATAATTCATTGGGTATAGAGAAGGGGGTAATATTATGGTAGTGCATGATAAGTTGGTTAGGATTAGCTTGGAGAGGAGAGTCAATAAGAGAAAATGGGGGAACTGCCATACATAGAGGAGATTAGAGAGAGAAGGAAATCGAATAGTATTGAGTGAATTTTACATTGTTTTAGCTTGTATCTGGGAGCATCCACTATCCAACCACTAAAAGGTATGGGGTGTATGCTGATAATTTAATCCAACTTACAATCAACTATCATTTTCCCCCAAATTCTTTTCATCTTCCTTGTTTCTACACCATGATTCAAGTCAATTTCATCAAGTAATCAACTAATCATAGAAAGGGTATATTCAAAATTTCATCTTTCTGACGTTTTCTGGTGTAATTAACAACTAGTACACGCAACTTCAACCTCTTCAGTTCATTCCTTGAGAGGGCAAGTCATATAATAACTTCTTGGCCACCTAGCACTAGAACTTATAAAAACTTCTTGTCCGGTTAAATTTTCAGTCTTTTCATTGTCTAAATTTTTTTTATACAGAGGGCACAAGGATTTATTTTTTCCTCAATGATTTGGAAAATCTCTTCAAATTCTCAAGACAGAGAACTTATTCTCTGGTACAGCAACCTTTCACTTACAACATCTTCTAGGAAATTAAATTTGTATTTTATGCCAGGGGTATCAGGAAAGCCTATAAACTTGTATTGTGGACCTCAAACAAGGAGACAAAGTTTCGGTATTTTTTCTTATATCCTCACTTTGTCATCTACACTCTCATCAAAACTCGTTCCTCTGATGTTAATAACCCTGCTAAGCAACCTCTTTACTTGTTGCAAAACCACAGTAACTTCAGTCTTCAACTAATTTGAATTAGTAAATCACGAGGAACTCTTCCAAATTTCTCAAGACTATGCACTATAATGTCTAGTATCTGACTAAATTGTGCTACACTCTTACTCCCACAATTGGGGTAAACTTGATACATCACAACACAAATCTTACTTAAAAGAAAAATGGTCATAATAATCAGCTCATTCCTAACCTATTCCCCATTTATCGGTATCTCCGAATCCAAACATAAGTTACTACTCTAATACGAGTATTATATTTTATCAAAGATGAAAACTTTTTCCTGTGTCTCTTCAGTAGTACATGTGACTATTATTTCCAAAAATACGAAGTACATATTTCTATATCCAAAGACTCAATCCTCATAAGTTCCAATAAAATTATAATCCACACATAAAATTCAAAATGGATCAAACAAAAATAGAATCAAAATCCCAAAAATTCACAAAATAGATGACATACATAATAAATTAATAACCATCAAATTAAACGACATATAAAGTTATAATCCAATCCAAAAATAAATAATTCACCTCGGAAATGAGAATTCGTCGAAAAGCATTAGCCAAAGCAGCATCAATACCAATCATATCAAACTCAATTTCATCCTCAGTAAGACGATTGACAACGACTTTAAAGTCCTTAAAGAAACTTTCTAAGCTCGAATTATCAACGTCCATTGAAGCATATGCTCCAGAATATAAAATTGATTCAGTCTGTTCACAAAAAACGCCATTAATAATGGAGAAAATAGAATCAAAGATAAAAATTACAAGAAATTGAAGAAAGGAAGAGAGAGAACGTCATTAGGAGCATCGAGTTTGCAGGAGACGCGAGTGCGCTTGAGCTCGAGGTGGTCAGGGAGTTTTGGCATCGTCGTTGATTCAGTGTGTTTTGAGAATTTTAGGGTTTAGGGTTTTAGGAACCCCAAAATCGTTTGTCTATTTAAACTTAGGGGAGGAAAAGGAAATGATGAGCTTGCCTCTAAATTGTTCGTGTCTTTTACTCTTTTGGTGTTGGCCACGTTACTCGGAACTTCTATAGCATCGGGCTACTCAGGTATTACATAGTGTCGTAGAGTTGTTAATTGGGGTTGTTAGGTCAAGTTCAAGTCGTATCCAATTGAGTTAGGTTTGATTTGGGCTTGAATCATGTTGTTTGTAAGTCATTGTGCCCACATAGATGAGTTTCTGGATCAAGTCTAGCCAAATCTGATCAATTTTTTACGCCAGTATTAATAAATATATATGGTTTTAATCAGTATTAAAATTATTAAGATTTTCATTTTAACACTAGTAGTAAAATTTGGTCAATAAACACAATATTATTAGTAAAAACCAATCTTCACTAGAGACAATTTGAGGGTGAGAATTCGCTTACCCTCCTTCAACTTCCAAAGGGCCTTACCTACTAACCCATGCCAGATTACCTGTGCAAGGTTCCAGTTTGATAGGGCGCCTTTTATTCACATACCAAAACAAAAATTAAATGTGACACTGCCAACCTTAATGGCCTAGTATCTTCTTTTAGAATTATGCTAAGTTTCGAGAATTACCCTTAGGGAATAACCATGTCAATAAATTAAACATGCTCACTCTTGTCGACTTAATTTATGAACCCCGCAGTGCTTGGAAGGCTGGAAAGGATTTAGCGACAACAAAATCTTAGGATTACTTTGCGCCAAGTTAGTAGATTTGTATCAAAACATTCAAGGAGGCTAGGCCAGCAGCTCCAACTTCTCAAAGACAAGTTCATTGTGACGCTACACTCAAAGAACAAGTACTCCGTACAATAAACATTACTCACTTGCCTCATAGACAGGCCAACAATGTCATTTATAATATGAAGTTTTTGTACCGAAAATCTTTCCAATTAATATACATTTCTTGTTGCGAAAAATGCTGGGTGTTTTAATTAGAAATTGTGGCTTCTCTCATCTGTCTGACTTTCATTAGAAAAGCCAACTGCCTTTTGTTATTCTGTGTAACAATGCCTGTAGTCTTTAGACCTCATTCACCTGATATATTTAGATTCGCTCAATCAGTTCAACATAAACTAGTCTCCCCATGTACTTTCGTATTCCTGCAGGATTCTACAATCATAGGATTACTTTTCCTCTAGATCTTTACAAACGGTATAAACTGAACAGGTTCATGTTTGCCAAAAATAAATACATTTTGAAATTTCAGAGTGATAGTATTAAATAAAAAAAATTACTTGTACAAAACTTTAGAGTAATACAATGTAGGATTATAGGTGCTCTAAGCGGAATTTCATGAATCATATTCATACGCACCTAAAACAGGATCACATGCATAACACACAAGAATCACATAATTATAACTTTGAAGTGTGATCTCCACGTAGGATGTTGATTGACAAATCAAGGAGAGAATAGAGCCCCAAGTGTTGCTCTTTTACTTAGTCCACAGGATTCGAACGAACCATCCACCAAGACTAGATTGGCTGAGTGAAGGGGAAAACCACAATCACCATCTTTATGGATAACTGGCCACCACCACAAACACCACTACCACCGTGCACACACACCGGCGCTGAGGAGGGAGAGAGCCATGAGAGAGAGAGGGAGTTTGTAAGGGTTAGGTCTCGTGTTTGCTAGCTCGGGTTTGATTAACAGTAAAATTGTTCTACCAAAAACCTAGACACCTAGTTTATTTATAATCATAAATTAAACTAGGTTAGGAAGCCCAAAACCCTTCAAACCTTACCTCTTAGCCGGCCACCTAGAGTGATAAGGCCCATCATGGGCCTCTTCCTCTTATGCTCGATCTAGGCCCTCTGTGTGACCTTATAGGATTCTTCAACTGGGCTTTGGCCTATTTTACTAACCCGAAGATCGTTAGTACCTCGAGTTATGATATAACGACGAAACAAAAGAACGAACTTACTTATCTTCATAATTGATCCATTATATATCTAGTAATTGCACTTTACGAAGACATAAATCCTTTATTCTCCCACTTGTCTGAGACAAGTGTGCAATATTCAAATTCCTTAAGTCAATATGTGTCAATTGATAATATGATTGCATCTCATGTCGAGATCATATTAATCTACAAACCTTTTCTTGAAATCTCAGTTAGAATTACAAAAACAAATGATTATCGAGTAATACATTTGAGTGCGGTCACAAATTTTCTGAATTCTCCCTCTTCAAGAGGCCATGACACATTTCCTAATTAATTAGGTAGACTCAATCCAATCTTGTGGCAACCAAAACTCCCACTCAACTTTTGAAGCAACCACCTTTTACGGAACGACGTTTGGATGTACCACAGTTAAATCAATCATTGAATGAAATCAGTGTTCCACTCATGTCAAAGGAATCCACTAATATATCCGGAAGCTCTATACTTGAACTTTATAGTAGGTCAATAATTCGATCATGCATCATTCATGCATATCCATGTGATTAACCGAGCATCTCTATGCCCCTATAGCCCATGAAACTGCGCTATCTAATCAATCTTATATGTCAGTCCATTTATTGAAATCATTTATGTCCAATTAAATGATTTCGAACTAGGAACTTAAATAATTTATGAATTTAGTTCACCTGTGGGGTTTCATTCGTCAAATCACGTATTTGATGATCCCATCAATTCATAATTGTTTTAGACATTTTATTTAACATCAGAACCATAATTAAATAAGAGAAATAATAAATTCATGATTAAACATACATAATTGTGCAAGTTGATGTATTACTTATGTGATAAGTTTTCTCAAAACATATACAACTTAAATTACATAACTTGCTTCAATCCAAGAACCTTGGTATGACTCTCATACTTTTCCCGTGGAATGGGTTTAGTAAGTAGATAAGTGATGTTCTCACTCATTTGTAATGTGACCTCGACTTCTTTGATTGGGCAAAGGCGCCATTTTTGTCACAAAATAACTTGATCCAAACTTTCTCCTTAGCCACTTCTACTGCAGTCAATGCAAATACTCATATTCTATCATGAAGTCTGCGATAGTGCTCTGCTTTGAACTATTCAAGCTCACTGTTCCTCTATTCAGACAGAAATTGTACCCAGATCGAAATCTAAAGTCATCTTTGTCTGTTTGAAAATTCGCATCTGTATATCTCTTGACAACCAATTCTTTTTGCCACCATGAACTAGAAACATTCCTTTAGTTCTTCTCAAGTACTTAAGGATTTGTTCTTAGTAGCTTTCTAGTGCACTTCTTCTGAATTTGCTTGAAAACTGCTATACATGCTCAAGGCATATGTAACACCCGACTTTGTACATATCATGCGCATAAGGTATATTATCCATACGCTTCAACTCTTCTGGCTTTTGAGGACACTGAGTTTTAATCTACTGAGCGTAATACCATGAGACATGGGAAGAAATCCTCTCTTAGAGTCTTGCATCTCGACCCTGTCAAGAATCTTATCAACATAAATCTCTTGACTTAGTCCAATCATCCTTCGAGACCTTTCTCGATGGATCTTAATTCCCAATATGTACTCGGCATCTCCCAAGTCTTTCATATAGAAACAACTCTTAAACCATTACTTTGACTAACTTAAGCATTGGTATGTCGTTTCCTATAAGTAGTATGTCATCTACATACAAGACTAAGAAAACTAGATCGCTCCCACTAAACTTCTTGTATACACAAGATTCTTTTCGCTATCAAGGAATCAAACTGTTTGATTACCTTGTCGAAACGAAAGTTCCAACTTCATGATGCTTGCTTCAATATATAAATGGAATTCTAAAGTTTGTAAGCCCTTCTAGGATTTTTTGGATCTTTAAAACTCTCGGGTTGTGTAATATACACATCCTCCATCAAGAACCCATTCAAGAAGGCGGTTTTGATATCCAACTACCAAATTTCATAATCGAAAAATTTTAGCAATCGCTAGAAGAATCCAAATAGACTTAAGCAACCAATGGGTTTGACCCCATTTGCAAATCTACCAAGGACTAACACATCATTTTTCTGACATGGAGTCCATTCTGGATTTTATATGGCCTCAAGCCATTTAGCTGAGTTGGTGCTCTCCAAAACTTGCTTGTAGGTTGTACACATTCCAATAGGAAAACTTTGGAATCCTCAGTTTATCAGAATTTCAACAAACTGTTTGTTTTTTATTCTGAGTAACCTACGACGGGTAGGAGCAACAATAGAATTATTCTCTTCAACTCTTTGAATTTTTTCATTCAAGTGGGACGATAGGAGTCTCGCTAGTCGAATTATCTTGCTCCGACACATGATTTGTCAAATTAGCTGACTCATGCGCCCTCGCCTATGATGTGGTGTTATCCACATCCATTTGTTCGTCTCGAATTTCTTCGAGAGCCACTTTACTCCCACTTGGCTTATTTGAATCAATCAAGCCGTCGGTTTGATTTTCCTTTCCTCTTGTCTTGATACCTAGGTCTTTTTGGTGACAGGTGGCAGCCCTTTATATTGCGGGCCTATTGGAAATATGGGCCTAACAGATATGTTCTTGATGGTAGGATCATTAAGATAGGACTTTAATGATCCGGTTAGATTGTTAGATCAATATATATGTAATATTATTCATTGGATGAATATTATTGGTTCTCATTCTCTAAGTTACATATATAGATGATGCATATGGAGATAAGTTCATTGAACGGACCAAACCGAGAATTCCCAATGGTTAATACTACCTATGAACTGTCAAGTGGGATATTCTCATAAGGATTTAAATGAATATATTTCCTTTGACATGAGATCATCATAGTAATCAATAGGTCACTTATTATGTTTTGATGCCGGACAGCTAGTGTGTAAAAATTCTAGTTGAATGGTCATTGGATGTAACTAAGTGTCTATGTGAGTAGTGATGAGTTACGTTAAGGATGAATCCATTGACTCTAGGTAATGAGTTTGAGCTCTATGTTGTCATAAATCTTAATGGTTGTATCAAGACCTTAATTGGCCAGGTCAGATTAATGAATGAAGAAAGGAGTTTCTTAAGGTGCATTCTATTCATC